TCTCTCTCTCTCTCTCTCTCTCTCTCTTTCTTTTGCTTTGGAAAATAACTTGACCCCCTCCTCATCTCTGGGGCAGCCCCTCAAATATTGGAAGACTGCTCTCCTGTTTCCCCTGGTCCTTCTCTTCCCTAGACTAGCCAGGCCCGGTTCCTGCAACCGTTCATTGTATGTTTTTGCCTCCAGTCCCCTCATCATCCTGGTTGCTCTTCTCTGTACTCTTTCCAGAGTCTCAACATCCTTTTTTATAGTGTGGTGACCAAAGCCCTTTTTGGAGGACTACCTATTATCCAGCAAACCTTAAAAAATCTTATCCAGGTGTTTAAAATGTAAAAGGCAGGTGATTGAAAAGAGCTTTTTTTTTTTTTTTTGAAGTGGTGCTTATCACTGGAGTTTTCTTCCCCAGCAAGATGGCACCACTGTATTTCTCAACTTCAGGTTGAAACATTTCTTTTCACTTGAAGGTTATTATTAGATGAACAGTGTTCTACTCCTGTCATTACTTTAAATTGCAAAGTGCTATAGCTGTCTTGAAGCCACTGGAGATTGGTGTTATTTAACTAAAACTTACGATTTTCTTTTCCCCTTCGCAGAATTTTCTCTTTATGGTGATAACATCAGTCTAGCCAGTCGGTAAGTGATGGTTATCGTTGTTTGGGAGAAATCGATATTTGTAATTAAGCTGTTAACGTGAGACAATTTCTGCTGCAGCCTCAATTACTTGGTGATCTGCAAATATTTTGAAAATCATAACCACCCATAATTCCTGTATTTATGGGCATTGTAGTGCCTATGAAACTTATACTTTATCAGATTTACCTTCTCGAAGTTGAGTATGGAAACGGTATATTCAGGGCACAAGAACCCATGAAATCTAATTTAAAGTATTTATTACAAGAAGGTTAAAATTACTGGGCAAGAATTCCAGCAAGTACCCTTGTTTTCAAGTCAGATACCTATGCAGGTATTCCTCAATTTATGACCACAATTGAGCCCAACATTTCTGTTAAGTGAGACATTTGTTAAGTGAGTTTCCCCCCGTTTTACAATCTTTCTTGCCACCGTTGTTAAGTGAATCACCTGCAACCCTTCTTGATTAGTTAGTAACCTGATTGTTAAGTGAATCTGGCTTCCCTGATGACTTTGCTTGTCAGAAGGTTGCAAAAGGGAATCACATGACACAGGGACACTTTGACGGTCATAAGTATGAACCAGTGGCCAAAATCCGAATTTTGATCACGGGATCAAATGTGACGCTGCAACAGTTGTAAGTGTGGAAAAGCGGCCCTAAGTCCCTTTCCCCCCCAGTGCTGCTGTAACTGGCAACTCTAAGAAAACTTGATTTAACTGGGGTAACTGACGGAATCCTGAAAGTAACTTTGAATGGTCACTAAACAAACAGGCTAACTCTGCCGACTGCCAGCCGTTCAATTCTGACCGGCTCGAGGTTGACTCAGCCCTTCCTTCCTTCCTTCCTTCCTTCCTTCCTTCCTTCCTTCCTTCCTTCCTTTCCTCCTTCCTTCCTTCCTTCTTTCCCTTCCTTTCCTCCTTCCCTCCCTCCCTCCTTCCTTCCTTCCCTCCTTCCTTTCCTCCTTCCTTCCCTCCTTCCTTCCTTCCCTCCTTCCTTCCTTCCTTTCCTTTCCTCCTTCCTTCGTTCCTTCCTTCCTTCCTTCCCTCCCTCCTTCCTTCCCTCACTCCCTCTCTCCTTCCTTCCTTCTTTCCCTCCCTTCTTCCTTCCTTCCCTCCTTCCTTCTTTCTTTCCCTTCCTTCCCATCCTTCCTTTCCTCTTTCCTTCCTTTCCTCCTTCCCTCCCTCCCTCCCTCCCTCCCTCCCTCCCTCCCTCCCAATGGTTAGAATTCAGCATTGCATGCTAAACTCCGCGCACTGTCAGGAGTTTGATCCTGACCAGCTCAAGGTTGACTTAATCTTCCATCCTTCCAGAGGTCAGTTAAATGAGGACCCAGATTGTTGGGGGCCAGAGGCTGACTCCGTAAGCCCCTTAGAGAGGGCTGGAAAGCACTGTGAAGAGGGATATGAGTCATAAATGTGAAAGGTGATCATAAATCACATTGTCAAAGCTGCTGTAACTTCGAATGGTCGCTAAGCAAACTGTTGGAAGTCGAGGAGTAATACATAAATATTAGTTAATATTAAATTTTAGTATAGTTAGACTATGTATACTTGATAGACTGGATTTTATGATAGATTTTATCTATTATTTTATTTTATGATTTTTAATTGTATATTTATGGAGTGTTTATTTGTTCTGGTCTTCTTTCTCCTCCTCCTCCTCCTCCTCCTCCTCCTCCTCCTCCTCCTCCTCCTCCTCCTCCTAAAAATAAAGAGGCTGGATGAAAGAAATGGGATGTGAATGTTGCTGAATCTTAAACTCCTTTTCATCTCTCCGTTGGCTCTGCTAATTTCCCAGAGAAGCGAAGCCAACAGAGATGCTTCTATGTGACATCTCTCCAGCTGGTAATAGGAGCAGCCATCCTCTGAGGTCACTGAGGGCTGCCAGTGGAGTTGTTCTCTCCCTGTTTCCTGGCCTGGGGAACAATAACAACAAAAAGAGATTTTGTTTAGTGCTGTGTGTGTGTGTGTGTGTGTGTGTGTGTGTGTGTGTGTGTGTGTTCGCTGGCTGCTTCTATCCTTCTCCTTTCCTCATTTTGCTCTTTTTTTCCATGCTTTCAGCTTCAGCAGTGGGAGCTGTGGGCAGCTGGATACCAGCACGGTGGAGGTCCACGACCAGGTTCACTGGCAGAAGGAAGAGAATGCTCTGGGTCGCACCCTCAGCTTCTTCAAGAAGATGACTGGGAAGTCAAAGGTAGGTCGCAAGGGCTTTGCCTAGGCAGCAAAGGGTTGAGTGTGTGTGTGTGTGTGTGTGTGTGAGATGCCCTGCTGGGCTAGTTTTCTGTTGTCCCAGGAATGCTGATATACTGTAAGTCAGATGGCAGGATCCAATCTGGATCGGTTGGAGTCTGAATCCAAGGAGGAAGACGAACAGGGAGTGGGAGTGTGGCTCCGTTGGCTGTGGAAGAAACTGGGGAAGGGCAAAGTCCGGCTGGGCAGAGCAGGGAAGAGGTAGAACAAGGGAGAGGGAGTTCAGAGGAAGACCCAGGTCCACTCCCTCTTCATCCTAGGGCACTCAGGGAGGAATGGAGAAGAGAGCAACGTGGGTTGGGTGGCTTACAGGGGAGGAAAGGGCCCTGATTCCCTTCATTAGCTGCAGCTGGGAACAGAGTGTTTAAAAAGGGAAGCTGCGTGCAGCAAGCTGTTGGGAGCAAACGTGACTTTATCTTGTATCATTGTGGCTTATCTGTGTTCCTGGCATCTTCCCACTGTGTGAGTTTTGTCGTGCTTTCAAGTTTGAAATTCCTGCTCCTACCTTGCCAAACTAATTACTTCAGTTTGGTCTGTTTGGATTTTAAGTAACCAGTTTCTGTGTATCTTGTTTTGGACTGGATTTTCTACAGTTAACAGTTCTCCTGTTCCTGGGAGAATTTTTCTCCAGCCAAAGGTAACCTGGACATTGGGAGCAAAGTTGGAGATAATAAAGGGACTCCTCTTGCTTATCTGACTGTGTTGCCATTGTGCCACGCCCCTTTGGGTCATCTTCCAAGCTTTCAGATTTGTGCTAGCGACCCATTCTCAGGAACGTCTCTCTTGCATCTATCGTGTTTCCCCAGAAAATAAGACCCAACTGGAAAATAAGCCCTAGTGTGATTTTTCCCTTCAAGATGCTTGTAATATAAGCCCTACCCCTAAAATAAGCCCCAGTTAAGATTGTCAGCCAGATAGATGCATTGAGTACCATATTTCCCAGAAAATAAGACCTAATGTATCTTTTGGAGCAAAAATTAATATAAGAACCTAGTCTTATTTTCAAGAAAACACGGGTAGCACCCTGCAACATTATCCTGGGACACGTATACAGGTAGTTGTCAACTTAACAGTTCATTTAGTGGCCATTCAAAGTTACAAGTTGTGTTCAGCGACTGTTCAAGGTTACCTCAGTTCTGAACAAGCATGATTTACAGCTGGTCCTTGAAGTTCCGGCAAACCACTTAAAAAAAAAAATGTATACATTTTTTTTCTTTGATATAAGTGCTCAATGAACAATGTATTGTCTGAGTCAATTTGCTTATACAAAATACTACTACTACTACTGCTCCTACTACTACTACTACTACTACTACTACTACTACTAATAATAATAATAATAATAATAATAATAATAAAATAACTTACAAGGCTTTTACAAAACACATCAAGAAATTGCAGCTTCCTGCAATAACACCAGCACAATTGCAAAAAACTGCGCTACTTGGAACATCATATATTTTAAGAAGATAATTGGTTGATACCTAGGATGCTGGCAGCAACCCGTATCAACCATTAGCACCAGTCACTGGTACTTGTGATACATTTTTAAATGTCCAGTTGACTGAGTTTCATGTTTAATGAATAAAAGTGATAATAATAATGTTTGCTTATATATAATAATAATCTTGCATCATTTACTTATACACATCAATAGTCCTTTATCTCCTAATTTCTACCTCTTTTACCCAGGGGTGGGTTTCTACTGCTTCTGTCCACCTCTGTAGAACCGGTAGCTCTGAAGAGCAGCAGACATAGAACTGGTTCTATGTCTGCTGATCTTTTTGCCCACCTGCCCACCCGGGCTCTTACCTGACTTTTATTTCCTGATTTTTTTCAACTTCAGCTGCCGTGCGAGGCATAGCTGCAGTTAAAAAAGCAGGAAAAGAGGGCTTTTTGAAAGGCTGCTTCTCTGCATGCAGCGTGCTGATGATGATTTACAGGCACGCTCTGCAGCGTTCAGGGAAGCACATTGTAAATCACCGAACCTCATAAATGACCGAACTGGTAGTTAACCCTGTCGGATCCCACCCCTGCTTTTACCTAACCATTGATAAAACAAATCCCATGTTTAAAAATATTCTGTTTCTTCTTTGTCTTTTATTTCTAATGTCAATCTATCCATCTCCACACAATCTAATATTCTTCTAATTATATTTTCATCTGTAAACCACTTTCTGAGGGGTCCTTGGTGCTCTCTGAGTTTGCTTGTTTTCTTGCAAGATGTTTCATTATCTCTTTTGTTTTTCTAACCTGTTTTTACCGGTTGGTTCAACATCCACAGTCAGGTTTTTATTTCACTATCTGACAGGCCAAACTGGATGGGCACTTAACATATGCAAAAAAGGGTTTTTATAGGATCAGTAAATACAAATGAAAGCGAGATCATGGTCAGCAAACATCATTTTTCTGTGCTTTACCTCTAGAGGGCAAAATAGAACTACTTCTGTCTCCATCCATATTGTTCACATTTTGTCATAGTTTACTGAATGAATGAGTTATAGTCTTGGCACATACCTAAGCCGTGGTTTGCTCAATCCTTGGTAAAGAAATTAGAAGTGATCAAATCACACAGCAAATCATGAACCGTGGCTAGCCAGCAACAGTCATCATGCAATGAATTCACCCAGAATCAAACCATTTTAGTGCTTGGAATAATATGGAATTCTGCTTTATAAATTATTCTGGTTCAGCTCATTCAATGCCGACTCAAACTAACAAACTGTGATTTTAGTACAATGTGTGAATTTAACCACTGGCAGCATTTACATTCTGCAACAATTATGTTGGACTATGTTGAATGTGCCTCTTTATTTTATCTATATTAGATCTGAAAATAAACAGTTAGTACGGTATGCAGTAATAATGAAAGATAGAACATCCTGGTGACAATGTAATGAGTCTAGTGGCTTATAGATAGAGCTACCTTCTATATTTCCACTCTACTTGATCCAAATACATAGATGAAACTGTGTGTGTATGCACACATGAAAATATCATATACCATATTTTCATCCCATATTATTCAGATTCCTTCCTTCGCTCCCTCCCTCCCTTTTCTTTCTCTCTTCCTTGGTTTTTCTTTCTTCCTTCCTTCATTCTCTTTCCTCCTTCCCCCTCTCTCCCTCTTTTCCTTCTCTCTCTTCCTTGCTTTTCCTTCCTTTCTCCCCTCCTTCCTTCCTTTTTTCTTTCTTTCCTCCTTTCCTTTCTTTCCTTCCTCCCTCCCATCCTCCCTTTTCTTTCTCTCCTCCCTCCCTCCCCTTATTGTGCACGGTGTAAATTAGAACTTGCGTTTTTGTTACTTTATCAATATTTTAAAATAGACCTTACTCCTAAATTTTTGCTGTTCAGTATGAAGAAATCAAAGATCAAATGGGAGAGTCGTCGTTTAATTTAAACAGTATAGCTGGAATCACATATGCTGCTGAGTGAGCTGAGCTGATTTTTTCATGGCACTCAATTCCACTCTCTTGTGTCTCAGAGGAGCTACTGGGCTCCGTTCTGCTGTTAGGAGGGGATATTTCAAGCCCTTTGCCCGGTGCCCACCTGGCACCACTCCATTTGACGGAGCGTGGTAACCTTCCCCAGCAGTGTGGCAGGGGTGCCTGGGGATTCTGGGAGTTGTAATCCCAGCACAACTAAAATGGTTTTGTGCACTCGATAGGATGTGGAAAAATCTTCTTGGAAAGATGCTGCTACCTTTGGCTGATCTTGGAAGGCCAAGCGAGGTCACGTTAAGTTAGAACTTGGGAATCCTCCAGCGAGTCCCAGAGTCTAGACTGAGAAGAGAGGGGTGGGGGAAAAAAAAACTAACATCTTGGAAGAAAGCCCTGGCGAGCTGCTTAATGGGGGGCTGCCAAGCCAACTGCATGGCTAAGCCTGTGAAGTCTGCAGGTGCTGAGCTTGGCGCAAGCGAGACACCATTTACTTCCCCAAATTGCAACCGTACAGGCATTTCCGTAAAGAGTTACCAGAGCTACTTAGTTGCTGTGTTTATCATTTTGGATGGAACATGAAAGCTTCTAAAAGAAATAATTGCTCTTGTTTCAACTCTCTTTGGCCCTTTCTTTCTTTCTTTCTTTCTTTCTTTCTTTCTTTCTTTCTTTCTT